ACACACACACACACACACACACACACACACACACACACACACACACACAGTGTTCACCGATGAAATTGGTTCGCGAAACACCAGAGATAGTTATTAGGCACATTCGAAGTCCGAAAATTGGAATAGATCCACACCAAATTACAGCCTGCAATGGAAACTGACAGTTTGAGGGGAAAAAATAAGCTCCGGGAATTGAATCAAGGAAAGGCAAATGCGAATCCGGTGGACGGTTGTGTCAATCATGTGCGCGCACACACGAGTGAGCGAACAAGCGCGTTGTTCCACTGTTCCGCAATCGGTTTGGAGGAAATATCGTGTGTGTATTAGATTTTTTCGCCTGGTGTGTCAACAAACATAACAATCTGAGGATGATTGATGCAACCAATAAAGCCGATTAAATTTCCCACTGGCGTTCAAATCCGTGTTGTCGTGGTAACTTGTTGAAAATTGTACAAAAGTGTTTTGTTGATGCTATGCTTATTCATTATTCCCCGGTGAATTGAGTTGCAGTATTAGTTAGGCAAAAGTTGTGGCTAAAGTGAGTTAAGGCAGTTGTCTACTGAGTGTGGTTTGTGACAACGGAATGAATATAAAGTAAGCATCATAAATGCAATGAGGTCGTTGAGTTAACTTTGTCGATCGGAGCGGAAAAAGTCCCATGCATACGATGTGCTCATCTAAATTTCATAATAAAGCACAATAACTAGAGTATCTGATTAGTTGGATCCATGCAGACAAATAGGTGTATTGGATTTTAGAGCATCGAGCTTGGATTAGCCTATTCGATTGTACAGAAGCACCAGGTGCTTGTGATAGTCTCGAATGTGGGTTTCACTCCTTGGGAGATCGTTAATTTCCCACCAGTTGAATGCATTTAAATGCGATGGAAATGTTTGTGATAACCGACGAAGAGCACTGGACAGCTGTTTCGTTCTGTTTGGGACTCGTCAGCAGTGCGTACTTTTTTGTGGCCGTGTCAAGACTCGAACCTTCAGGCTGGGACTTCAAACCCTTATCCCTGAGCTACAAACATTTCCATCGCATTTAAACGATTGTTAGATGTTTACTGGAGAACAGACGATTTAGTGCATCACATAGGTGTTTACTGGAAACGACCATTCGACGTGATTTGGTCACACAGAAAAAACAGGAACAGCAAATTTGAAATATATGTATATTACTCCACAGATTGCTGATTAGTGTTTCCCAATGCAAATGTTGTGTTTTGAACTTCCGGGCGATAAAATCCCATAAGACATACACTGACGTGTTCGACTGACAACCCCGAATTCGGTTTGGAATTGTGGTGATTTTGTCGCGGGGGGGGAGGGGGGACAATGCACAAAGGGACAGACCATTAAGGAACAGAAAGTCAGCGAAATAAAAGTAATTTTGCTGGACCAATTGTAATTTGCATAAATCCTATCTGAATGGATTTGTGCGCGATCTGCACTATTGCAAACATTCAAGTTGTATAAGAGTGAGGGGGTGGGTGAAGATTTACATGTTCATTTTCTTGAATATTTACCACGAAACCTCAGCGATAAAAAACCCTGGCAAGAAAATGGTTACGACTATTCACTGATAATAGCGTTGCTTTTCGGGCAAGGTTCTCGGCTCCTTGACCCACATTCCGAGTCCTGGTTGGGACACAAAAGCAGAACACATTGCTGAGTTCCACCAAGAAGAAACAAAGTGATTAGTGTGATCTACCATTTGACACGCAGCACAATCTCCACCGCATACAAAAAAAATCCACGTTCGTTTTGTGAGATACGAACACGGAGATCAGAAGAACAATCATCGTGTCATTGAAAAGATTACCAATTAAATAAGCACAATGAATACTACTACATGAATGATTGGAGAAAACTTCCCAGAAGCCCACGACCAGTTTTCCGTCCTTGCCGATCGTCAGGATAAACTTTAGTCTGGTTATTCTTACACACCTGTACTCCAGTCGTTCTTCTGTGAAATTTTCTCCAGTCATTCATATACTACTACTCATCATAAAAACACTGAAAACTGGACCGGGCTTTGAGTTGGCTGAGGTTGAACACATCTAACCCACAACACCTAAGACGGGATAATCACAATGATTCTTCTAGGCCTGTCTGTCTGAACGTCAACTCCTCAGGCAGCAAACGAGATTTGCGTTGCTTAGGGAACTAAGTTATTCCTCAGTTAGAAGCCAAGTTTCACGTATATTGTTGCAAAATGCTGGAGCAACTGTACATCCGTTTTATTCCTATCCAGAATCATCAGTAATGTTGAGCTGGCACACAATGGGTGGTATAACATGAGTTGTGATGAACCCATCTACTACTGTTACCAGCCCGGTTGGCGTGGTAGTTACCCATAGGGTTTACAACAACCCAGAACGTCTGTGTTCGAACTATGACAACCGCACTGAAATCATACGGGTGGAATGTGTGGGTTGGGCGTCTGCTTACAGGTGTGCTCGACATGATGACTCACTTATAATTGTAACAAACGTCTAATGTGCTAGTTAAACCAACAGCATTGACTGATACAGCAGTAAGCACGGATAATGCGCTTTCCCTGAAGCGATACTTTCGTTCCTACAGAGCCTGATGGAAGGTATCCTCCAAATGCATCGCTCGGTTTGAAGCATCAATAGGTCTTTATTCTCTCTAGCGCAAAAGAAATGCTTCCTTGATCCAAACATTTTTGACATATCTGAAATGAACCAGTTTGATGAGACCAAGTTTTGCGGATTTCTTGCATAACCATGGCAACCGGACAACTGTTCCGCCACATCATTGAACGCGCCCTCAAGACATGCATTACACAGTAACGGGTAATACGGTGACAGTTCGTCGGATGGCAAAGTACTGAAGTTTCGCAAGCCTTTTACCAGGATAGCGAGCGAAATGTATCAAAACGTCTGGTGGAGATTGATCTACAGAGCAAAAAGCGACATATAAAAGGGGTATTTCGGGGCCCTATTTTCTCGTCATTCCCAATAAGTCCTTCGAACGAATAACATCCAAGTGCATGAACCACTTAGCTATTGACCAGCTAGTCATTCTGCGCACACAGCTGAAGAAGAATCTATCTCTTTCCGTAAA